TTTCTGTATGAATAAAAATATTTTGAATGCTAATTTAGTTGACATTAAAAAATTACCAACATATTACTAATGGATTTGTATATGTATATATACCATTAGTATTATTTGACACATTATTATTAATATGACACTTACTAATATAAACAAAGAAGTGTATTAATTCGAGAATTATTCTAGTAAGATTAAGAAATTATCTAATCTTATCTCATGCATAAATTCTGAGGTACTCTAGTATTGTATAATAAAATTAATACGTTTTAAAACTTCGCATTATTTTTGTCTATACAATAATTGTGTGATTTTTCAAGATGATGACATTGGTATACTATGCAGTCACGTTTTCCTATTTCCATAGCACTTTATTCTACGCGATTCACGATCATTCTTAATGATACCATCTCGAACGAGTTGATGTCGGCGCATGATCAGACATAGAATACTGTACTACATATTTTTGATATATAGTTATGAGATAAGTATTCTTTTACTGGAAAAGGGAACTCTCTCATTTTCAAAACTATGAAAGATAACGCCCATACTCAATTTCGTTTATAATCTTTTTTAAACCATCATCATTAAGAACCCCTAGAATTCTCATCATCCGATCCCAGCAATAACGTACTGCTATCGTTATTTCTTTAAGCAAAAATTAATGTTAAACACCGGCATTGTCACTTAAGTCTCTAGCCGTTGACAAAAATATTCCACTCTATGTATTATGTTCGTTAAACGTATCCATTTGTGATTCATCTCGGAATTATTGACTTGAAAATGAAAGAGTTAAAAAATTTTATGATTTACTTATTGTGAATGTGTTATGTAAGCTTTGACCCGTGTTGAATAAAGAAGTTATCTTCTAGAAATTACATTTTATTATAGAAAAGCTTAGTATATTTTCATGTGATGTAAGTGAGAAGGGATTATTTTAATGTAGGAGCAAAAAATCTGGATGCGTAACAGATCATTCATCGTTTTTATCTGTAGGATATCATTTACGATTGTACGTAAGAATTTGTTCTGGTTATCACTACTTTCTGAGCACATGGTATTACAGCATGCGTAATACATTATTAGATAATAATTTCTCTTTCCACATATTGAATAATAAATTCTTTAAACATTTGTGTAGAAGCTAGATAATCATTCTTGTTGCGTACATCAATTATCACATACTACATAACTGATAATTGTAGCTGCATCTACATGTATAGGTGAATTCAAACATTTATGCGTTTGTAATTACATCAAGAGGATGACTCGTATTTTAAATACTTCGAATATAAACGACTGCTTCGAAAACGTAGACTCAACACATCCCATCAATAATCTATGAATAATTCATGAACGAAAGTTATATTAAACCACAACATAACACAATTTATATTCATAAAAATGATTATTTTTGGCCTGATTACTTAGATTTTATACATTTGGAGGAAAACTCTTCAGAGCGAAATCCACTTGTTTATTAAAAGAGATAAGCAAATCCTGAATCTACCATACCGATTTGAACTATAGATCAATCTGTTGTATCGATCGCACAGTGCCAGTAGTAAACAACAAGTAAAATAAGTACATGCAAATTAATGTCTAAAAATAGCTAGCTGTCCAGTATTAAAAACGCTATTATTCAACCGGTCAGTCGCAAAAGATTTACCTTCACATGCTTCTTGTATTGGGTCAACTGTTCGGCAGTAGGTTCCCGTTTCATTCCAGACATGTTGCCCTCTGTTGTATCTTCCTTTTTGCAACAATATCTTCTAAACGATAGTCGTTGGAAAGCCAGCGCAGTTAAATTCTTGCTCGTGAGCGGCACACTGCTTTGCGTGTCACGTTCAGGACAACGACTGATCAGTTTCAACAACAACGGACTTTTATCATCCCGACCGGCCCTCCAGTGGTGAACGCGAATCGGAACGGTATTACGTATGAAAGTCCGACGCAACGATATCGCCCGAACGAACAGAACAAGGCCTGAGCCGTTCTTCGTCATTCTTCGGCGCTGATCCTCGCGTGCCTTCTATCGCTTTGATCCACCCTGATGACGATGCGTTCGTTTCTATAGTTTACTTAATTTCTCGTTTTTCGTTCCTATTGCAACCGCTGTTAGGAAATTGACAAAGCTGGAAAAACAATTGCGGTTTTCACGGTAGAACAAACCGAAATGGTAAAAATGACTAATTGCAAATGATTCATGCCGCGTAAAAAGTTAATGATCAGTGTTTTAAAACATTTGTTCGATTAAATAACTGAAGTTTTAATAATATATATACATATATGTATGTTAATAACATATGTATGTATGACTATAGATAATTAAAATCTACAGAGATAAAATCTTCATAAAACAATTTCTTTATATCTAACTCAATAGATTTTATCGATTGATCTTTAGTTATCTTTCTTAAATTCCAAAGTGCCGGTCGGAATACTTCTAGTTTGTAAGTATCACTTTTTCCTATTGTATAATTAAATACTACTGAATTGCAAATTAGGTGAGAAGCTAACAATATAATTTTCTGAAGTAAGAATATAGCAAAAAAAATATCCAGATCCTAGTCAAATATACGTAATTACATATTATTTTGTATTAAACATGGTTCATATAATATTTTCTACATTTTTGGATAATTAACAATGAATTTTCCTTGAATATCTGACTTTCATATCCTCTTTCTACTTAACGTGAAAACAGATAATTTTCCACTACTGCCATAAAATATCTTCTAATAAGAATATGATATTATCTGATATTAGACAAAAGAATTCTCTTGATAAGTTTTGATTTTGCAATTTGTCATCCATAGAAGTACTACGATTTATTTTTAGCAACATCGAGGTTTTCCTAAATCAAAATACCCTTTTCAAGTGCAAAACGTATATTTTAATATTTTTGCGATGACGTATGTAAATAGTTGCATACATTTTATCTATAGGAACACGGGAATTTCAGCATTACGGTAATTAGGTTGCTTCAGATTTGATGAAAACCTAGCATATAAAAGTAAGCAACATTACGCAAAGGTGAAAACATAAAACGGAAAACTCAGCAAGTTGGAGTTAACTACGCATCAAGTACAGCGTAAGCTTCAAATATAAGAATATTATTTTTGAAATGATGACATAAAAATTAAATGAACATTATAAATATTCCTGTGAAAATTGTAATATATATATGTCTTGACTCTTAAAAATACCATAACTCAACGAACATAAATTTCAAGCTTCTACATATAGCTAAGCATCAGTAATACATATGAATCAATTTTTACAGCGTTTTTTCCGCTCTCAATGCCTTACTTCGTTTTTCAAACTACGTTTACTTCATTTTTAAGCGTGAAATCTTCTCATTACTTCAACTAGCGTATTTAGCTTGATTGCACCGAAATTAAAACGTAGATATGAGTTACACAAATAAGCATCTTTGCAGAATTTGCGGAAAATAAAGAAACCATTTTACTGATATATTTGAAATATTATCGTTTAATTACTTTGAATAGCTCATAGGGATATCTAATTATTTGTTTATCGCTAGTAATGATTATGCAGAATATATGCATATTTTCAATGTTACAGCGTCTATTTGCTGTTCTATATGTATTTTAACGTGATATGTTATATCTTACCGGAATGTAATTATAATAATTTAATGTCCAGATATGATATATAACACGGTGATACTTTAGCAAGTCACCTTTCTCTTGCAGACATAACTTCGATGTGCGAATATTAACTTAAATAGATTCCTTTCAAGTTGTCCAACAATTTTCTTAACCTGCACCTGGTACCCATTGGGTATCGTCATCATCATGCACTATCGAAAACTTGGCAGAAACACAAGAACTATATTTATTACTACGTTTCGTTTTCATACAAATAGAGTTTCAGACCACTGCTCGATACTCGGGAAGTTAATCGCCTATCGCCTACCGCAGCTATGCAAATGAAGTTAACATTAACAAACGGTTCTCTAACCATAGAAAATGATTAACTGTTATCTAGAAGGTAATTGAGATAAAAAAATGTTTTAAAGTTAAAAACGAGTCAGAGGAACTTCCATGGAACAGCTTAAGCCTTGCTAGGAAATGCTAGGAATTCTATGACAAAGCACAATTTCACAACTGCTTCATTACCTCGATTACATAACAATTTCAAAACGAACATGATTCCCTTATGCTAAATGAAGAAAGATCGACTCAACCATTGCTTCGCAACTTTCTTTATTAACGCCATTGCAGCTTTATCAGAGCCCCAGGTACAGTTCCGAGCTCGACACCGAAAGCGAGCTCACACACAGAAATGCGTAGCCCTTATACATCATACACATTCTGAATTTCACCGTTTCGTCGCTTATACATAAGAATTTACAAAAATGTTCGCAAACCTGATTTTATCATGACGGTTCTCTTGGAGTCTTAAAGTTCATGCGTTGTTCCACACTGTGTTCGTATCACTACACATCGATCTAAAAAACCGCACAGATCTAGAAACATCCTGTTTCGACAAACACTTTTAAACTCGGATCAGACATCATTTCGAAACAAAATTGTGATGGTTTTTATGTCTCACCGGAATATTAAGCATACCAAATTGTTACATAATCATTTAAAGTACCGAAACACAAAGGGACACTTTCTAGTTTCGAAGGAACTTTGGAATGCTTCATAAGTTTCTTGGAAAAAGATATTCAATCTGTGAAGTCGATAAAAAATCAATTGATAATTTGCAATCTGAAAATGTTTTTTCTAAAGTGTTCGTGCGTTTTGCATGTTTCTCAATCTCGGCTAAGCGTATTTAAGCGCAACTTTTCGACCATCTCTTAGCAGAAACAAAATTCATACGAAGAGTATAATTAAATCGTTCCCCGTCTTTGGTAACAGTACAGAAAGAATATCGACAGAAAAATAAAGTTGCGGCGATCGATGAAAGATTTAAACTGTGCTATCTGAATCGCATTTATTTAAACATTAAATTAAAAATCTACGCAAATACACTATATAAACATCTCGCGGTATTATGTACACAAAAATCGCCTTGAGATCCCGCTTCGTTGACGATCTCTAGTAAGACTTCCGCGAGTTCCGAGAAAAGTAGGCGCGATCGTACACGGTAGTATGGACGAAGAGCAGAACGAATATATTATATTTGTTATATATATATATCATCTTTATGCGCGAATTAAATCAGTTAATTATTCGTATTCCCTAAACAGAAACAATGTACACAATTAATTATGCCTAAATACTGCCAAAGTCGGTTGCACCCTCTCACATTTGCAAATGAACATTGAACAAAGATTGTTCTCAACTTCCCTCATAGTTGTTTTCACCTTATTGGAAGCTAATTAGCGAATGTTACGGCAGCTTTTAAACTCATTTGCCGAATATCGTTCATCGGTTATCACAATGATTGGCAAAATTCATTAATATTATATACTCCACAGTGTTTCTTGATCGACACTGACACCAACGCTTGTCTCTAAAAGCTTCTACATATTGAAAATGTGTTGCATGCTTCGTTCAACGAGGCACACACTCTCTCTTATACAGAAGACATTTTATGCAAGGCATTCCAGATTTAAAACAAATTCTTTTCGTATATTTTATGGTTTGGCAAGAAGAGAATTGTATATCTATCAACTTAAATTGTCTACTTGATTAAAAAGTTATAAATAAAAGTATAAAATTTGAATCTGAATTTAAAGGTCATTAATGACAAGCTAAGCATATGTAGTTGATCATGAAAGTCTTCGTATATTCCGCAACATTTGAAGAAAATAGACATCAACTTTGTATAATACTATGTTTTATTAACACGTGAGATAAATGTTCTACGACATTTTTACATGTTAATGAATAAATATTATATTATTCAGAGTTAATGTACAATAATGTGAATTATGTTCAAAATAATGTTTCTGGAGTGCACGAAGACTTTCGTGATCGAACGAATGTTGTCTTATGATACTCGTCAAGCATTTCATGTGATGTATTCTTATTTTTTATTCAACGCTCATGATTTCGATGACTGCAGGTAATAAATATTATGCAAGTAAATAATTTTATAGATCCGTTACATCATTAATCGCAATAACTGTATCTTTATCACGATAACTTGTTCCCTTCGGATTTTTGTTCACAACTTTTTAAATGCAATGATTGATGAATCGTGCTACAAATGAATTCTCAAACTTTCTTAATATATATAAATAATATACAACAGCCCAATACAGGGAAATTGTAATAATAC